CTATGATAATATTTTTATTTAGTTAACACAGACTTAAACAGAACCACATTATGTAGTTGAGCTGTTCATTATAAATGAAAATAAGAAGAACTGAATGAGGGAAGGCCTGTGTTCACTTGATGAAAACATGGATTTATACCTTAGCATGGCCTCTAAGCCTATCCACTGCCAACAAACATGTAGAAGGTCTTGTTAACTTGGAGCTGTTACTGCTTCTAACAGAAGCACCAAGAAAATGTCTTCTTCTCTGGTTATATCCTATAAAAATTGAGGAAAAAACAAACTCAGTTGCTCCTGCTACACTGTCACAACACAGAATTCTTCTGCAATCATGAGGGTGAAGTTTTTTCCACAAGCCACACCAACTGGGTACCTCAGAGTTCAATTCTAATGCTCCTCTACCTGGAGACCCACCTGGAGTTAGTGTCAGATCCAGAAGTTCAGGAGTCAGCCCCAGCAGACCACCCTACTTCAGATGCCAATCTCAGGACCATGCCACTGGTACTACTTCTTAACTACGAACCAGGATCCTACCTCTGGGTTAATTCGCTAGGACACCTCTCATAACTTCAGGAAACACATTTACTGGTTTACTCAAAGGTATTCTAAAGGACATAGATTAATAGTTAGGTAGGACAAGATAAGGGGTTACAGGGTGGAGCGTCATGTACACCCTGCCAGCAGGAAGCGCATCAAATCTTGCTCATGAGTTTTCATGGAGCCTTTTGTCCAGCCTCCCTCTTCCCAGAGGTTGTAAGAGGGGCTGGACATTCTGAGCCAGGAGTCTGGCCCTGTCATCTCATTCATATAAATTCAGATGTCATCTATATGGGCTCTTAATGAATAACCAGGCGCTCCTAGGAGGCAATTCCAAGATTTTAGGTACCTTGTGAGGGGAATGGAACAAGCATAAGTATATTTTGTATTATACCACACCTCTAAACACTAATGTTCCACAAAAGTCTATGACTCTATCAGTTTAAGACATTTAAAAACTGTTAAAGGTTTTCTTCAATTTCATTAGTAAATTTCCAGCACATAATGGTTACATTTATCATGGGGAGTTGGTATGCGTATGTTAGCACATCTTAATCCTTCGTACACCCCATTCCTCTCCCCTCCCTCCTTCCTCCATCTCTTGGTCTCCTCATTTGCAAAACATCCATCTCCCTGTCTCCTGATATATTTTGTTCTTGATTGATTCTTTGGGATTCTCGTATAAGAGAAACTATGCGATAGAGCATCTGATTTATTTCACTTAACATTTTGGTCTCAAGGTGCAAATTAAGTGAGAGTTATTTTGGCTCACGGCGTGTAGAGGTTTCATTCCATAGTCAGCTGGCTCCAAGGCATGGACCCGGCAGAGGAGGACCGCTGATGGCATGGCAGACAGGATGCAGAGAGATCAAGGAAGGAGGTAAGGAAATGCATCCTTCCAGGCCACAGCCCCAGTGACTCAGCTCCTCCGAACAGACTTTACCTCCCAGTATTACATTTAGCTCTGAACTCTGGACTGGTGAACCCATGACTCAGTCACCTCCTAAAAGCCCCACCCATGAGCACATGAGTCTTTGGGGGACATCTAGATAGAAACCATAACAAATTAAATTTATAATTTTATTTTTTTTGCAGAATCTCCATACTGATTTCCATAGTGGTTGTACTACTTTATATTCCATTCCCACCAGCAGCATAGAAGGGTTGCCTTGGCAGCATTTATTATTTGACTTCTTGCTGATAGCTATTCTTTCACTATTAACATGGAACCTCAGTGCTGTTTTAATTTGCATCGGCTATTTGTACTACTGGGGAATGTATTTGTGTTTCAGTTGCACATGTTTGATTTGGTCATTCCTTTTGGGGCGTGTATTTTTAAAAAAATACATATATATATATATATATATGTATTAGATATTAGGCTTTTTCCAAGATAACTGGCCTCCTTTTGGGGCGTGTATTTTTAAAAAAATACATATATATATATATATATATGTATTAGATATTAGGCTTTTTCCAAGGAATAACTGGCCAAATGCTTTTCCCACTTTGTAAGCTCTCTTTTCACTCTGTTGGTCGATTCCTTGTGGTGCAGAAACTTTGGTATAATCCCACTTGTTGAATCATGACGTTATTTCTTGAATAACTGGGGTTTTGTTTAGAAAGCCCTTGCCTATGCCTGTCTTCAAGAGTTTCACGTTATTTCATCTTCCAGCAGATTGTTTTTGTTTTAATGTTTAAATCTTTGATCCATTTTTTTAGTTTAGTACATATAAAGCGAGAAATTCAGTCTTCTGCATGTGGGTAGTTTTCCCAGCACCATTTATTAAAGGGGCTGTCCTCCAGCATGTTTGCAAGCACTGGTCAATGATCACATGGCTGAATGTACCTGCGGTGGTTTCTGTGTCCTCTATTTTGTTCCATCGTTCTGTGTATCTGCATTTGTGCCAATACCATGATGTTGTTATCACTGTAGCTTTGTAGTATAACTTGAAATCTGGGATTGTAATGCCTCCTGCCTTGCTCTTGTTGGTCAGAATTGCTTTGGCTAGTCTAGGTCTCTTATGGTTCCATATGAGTTTTAGGATTGTTTGCTCTGGTTCTGTGAGGAATGCTGTTGGTGTTCTGATTGGGATTGCGGTAAATGTATATGTGAGTTTAGAAAGTGTGGCCATTTTCACATTATTGGTTCTGCCTTTCCAGGAACAGGTCATATATTTCTAATTTCTGATGTCCTTTTCAACTTCATTTCTCAAAGTACTGTGTTTTTTGTTAAAAGACGTGTTTCAGGGCCAAGGATTTAGTTCAGTGGTTCCGCTGCCTGCCTTGCAAGCATCCCCAGTACCAAAAAAAACAAAACCAAAACCAAAAACAAAAAATGTGTTTCATTTCCTTGGTTAGGTTAATTCCTGAGTATTTAATTGTTCATGATTCTACTGTAAATGATATTGTTTTGCGAACTTCTTTCATAATGATTCATTTTTGTGAGATAGGTTTCAATACTGGTATTCATTTTTGTATGTTGCTTTTGTATCCTGCTACCTTGTTGAATTTGTTCATTAGTTTTAGAAGTCTTTTGGTGGAATTTTTTAGGTCTTCTATATAAAGAATCAGGTCACGTGCTAATAAGGATAATTTGACTTCTTTCTTACACATAATCTTTTTTTTTCTTTCTCTTGCTTCATTGTTCTGTTTTGAGAAATGTATTGAACAGGAGTGGTGATAGTGGACATCCGTGTCTTTTTCCTGCTTTTACAGGAAAAGCTTTTAGCTTTTCCCCATGTAACAAGATGTTGGAGTAGATTTGTCTTAAATAGCTTTTATCAGATTGAGATAATATCAATTCTATGTTGTTATGAAAGGATATTGGATTTTTTTCAAAAGCTTCTGTATCTTTTGAGATGGTGTATTTTTGTCCTTGCTTCTATTTAATGTATTACATTTATTGATTTCCATATGTTGAACCACCCTAACATCCTGGGATGAAGCATACTTGGTCATGAACTGATATTTTAAATTATTTGTTGCATTGTTTGCCAGTATCTTGTTGAGGATCGTTGCATCTGGTTAGTGAGATTGGCCTATAGTTTCCTTTTTCTAGTTGGGTCCTTGTCTGGTTTTGGAGTTAAGGTAATGCTATCTTCCACAATTAGCTTGGTAGTTATTTTTTGCTGATCTCTGAGCCTACCCTTTCTTCAATACTTATAATTGAGCTGCCATGTCTGTGTTTCTTTGTAATTCTTCAGCCCTCAAGGACTAAAATACCCCTCCACAAACACACATATGCTGATTTAGAGAATGTATCTTTGGTAGTAAATACAAAATAACGACCAACATTTACTAAGCATTTCTTTGATGCCAAATATTGTAGTTATTTAAGAGGACGTACTCTGGTAATAACAAGCCAGGTAAATCTGACCCCTATAGTGCATGCTCTTCCTGCTACTGGACAGGACAGCAAGACTGGGCAGTGGGATAAGTGGGAGCTTAGGGTCCAGTATTCTGTATCTATACACAGGATTATTATGCTCCAGTGCTCAGAGATGATATGAAATGAGGTAATGTCCACATTCTGTGCTGCTCACCTGCACAGGAATTGCACTGCCCACACGGGGGGAGGGGGACTCAGCCTACTGTTTTTAAGTGGTTAATATCTTAATTTGTAATGGTCTACTTAGAACTCAGCAACTTAATTTCAATATGTTGCTTAACCAGGCTTGTTCATCTCACTGTTCAAGACAAATCCAGAGAGCATCCACCTTCCTTGGTGGGTGTTGTGCTGTTTTCGAAATCTTTCTGAGCCTCTTTTCTCACCTGTAACATAGATAACTGCAACTGCCTCTCGCGTATTTCAGGGTTTACATGGCATTAGAAATTCTCGAACTTTCTTGTACAGGGATTTTTTTTTCGTTATTTAGCGAATACTCTATTAGTTTCTGTAATCAAACCCACGTAGATAAGACCTTACATATTTAATACAGTGTGTTACCCCTGTCCAAATGGGAAAAAATTTTTCTAGACCAATACGGCTGTTAATTTCTGTACAGGGATTTATTAAAGGCTACTGAGCTAGGGGTTAAAAAAAAGTTAAAAAAAAAAAAGTCAAAATCCAGGGTACATCACAGGAAGGCGAGAATGTAACCAAAACATTTCATTTTAAAGCGCAATTGAATCGTCTTCTTCCCGGGTCGGGCGCCCTCTTTGGGCGGGGCGATCCCCGCTTTTCCTAGCTGCGCAGGCTCGGGCTGGAAACGCGGAGTGGAGGGGGGCGTGTCGCGAGCGCAAGCTTCCCCCTCCTCCGAGCTCTTGGCGGCGCCGATCACTGGCCGAACGCCCAAATCTCACTATCCTCACTCCATCCTCAGAACCAATGGCCGTTACCACCAGGGATTCGTTAACGTGAGTCACACGCTGCGGGCAACAGCACAGCCCAATCACCGCACCGGGGAGGTTGGGCGGGAGCCCTGTAGACCAATGGCGGCAGGAGGGCGGGTCTCGCCCCCTCGGCTCCACCTCGCGAGCCAGGAGAGGTAAATTCCGAGGCCGCGGCTGCCCCTGGTAGCTGGGCCGGAGTCTCCTCGCGGCGCTGCAGGTGAGCGGACC